TCATATAACGGGCGAAAACCAACCAACAGCGAATTATTAGTTAATAACGAAGTTAACGTTATTTAGCGTGTATTCGTTGGCTATGAGTTAATAACTAACAATTCATATGATACAACGACAAAAAATATAATAATTTCGCTATTGATATATTTTCCTCTCATTTACGTTGGTGTTTAAGGGTGAAAGTCGGTGTATAAGGGAGGATGCGGTGAACGTAAACATAAAAACAGACATCGGGATCGAAGCGTAATTTTTAGTGTGGCAAGCCGAGCGTGTCAGTTACAAAACGTGCTGAAGAGCAAAAAAAATAAACGACGATGACGCAGTTTATGATTCAGATGTGAAGATGTTTAAACTATATAAAGACAGTGTTGATAGTTTTTTCTTTAATAAAATACGGGTCTTCGTTATCAAACTTTGTTTTCTAATCAAATAAAAACTACTGGAAAATTTAAAAAAAAAAAAAAATGAAACATTTCTAGTTAGATATATGTATAGTAGTGTCGGGGTACAGTGGGGGGGCTACAGGGGGCCAGTACGGGGTCACAAGCTGCGTCACGTGGTGTGGATAGTTACGTGAGGGGCGACAGCGGGCGGTAGCGGCCGACGCGCTCGCACGCGCCACCTGCACAAGGCACGAGTTACGAGCTGCCCTCCGCCTTCACCGCCTTCACCGCTACACCCGCTCTACTCACCTAACTTCAAATATAACCAACTTTACGACTCCTCCATACTTATATACTACAATATTACATATATTTTAAATTAATTAGCTCAAATGTAAAGTACGTGCATTAGCGAATTGAATATGGGAGTGCCCACTTTTTGTTAATACGCTTAATTAGTTCAATATATATATAGGAAAGACGATATTCAACCTAAAAAAATATTAAATAGTAGAAATCAGAATTTAGATAAAGATTCGTAAAGTTGGTTTTATTTCAAGTTAGCTTATTGGTGTAGTCATTATTTATAGTTTTTAGTACATTTTCTACCGATATTTTCGCCTCTTGCATTAAATAGTGACTTTTTCTATAAGATATCATCTAATAATGGTTATATTCGATACTAAGTTAAATTTTATTATCGTCTGTTGGGAATAAACTTGAATCTATTACGTAAAATGAACTAAAAAACTATAGTTTGCAATATGTCAACATTAATTACCCCTTTATATTCATAAAAATATTTGAAATGTTTATAAATATTAGGAACAGAACTAATTTATCAATAGCCATCACTGATGCCAATTATTAGCACATTACTGTTGAAAATAAACTAGAACCCATTTAGTTTAGTATTGTATTATACTGATACATCAAAATGGTCAACATACATCAACCAAGCAAGTGATCTGTTACTGCCAAAGAATATTGTCAAATAACTTTAATATTTGTGTTTTTGTTTGGTATACATTATGATAAGAAATGTATACTCTGCTTGTAAACATTTACAAAAGATTTAGTAATAAAAATGCTGATACTAATTCTGCAAATTTTAGTCATGCTACATTGTGTGGCAGTGTTTGTTATTTTAAGAAATACACACAGAATGTGTGGTACACAGTGCGTGTTGTAGGAAATACATTGACAAATATTTTATAGATATTGCGTTAATTGATTGTGGATAATAGTTAAAAGATTGTCTTTGAAGAAGAGATAATTTGACAAAAGATATTTTTTTATTCATTTTTTTTTGCAAAAATCGTCAACTGTGCTGCTTACGAGTTGTAATTTACCGTTTTAATATTTGATACCCACAGGTCAGACTTTTCCTGCTGTGGGCCTACTGAATACCGCATTTTATTGTGAAGATTAGTTTCGCAATAAACAAATTTTATATTTTATTTATTATATTTTAAAACTCAATGTCAGAACGACTTTAAAGACGAAAGTAGTTCTACATACTGTTGCTTTTAATTAACTACACCCTTACTGTTCTATGAGCTTTGAACTCAGAACCAAATCGGTGTAAAATCATCATCGCAATGTAAATTTTTCCCCTTCAATTTCACACATGTGAACTGTGGTTTAAATAGGCGTTGTTTTATAGTATTTTTGTTTATTACTGTATTGCAGGTCAAAAAATGTAATGACCGCACAATATTCATCATAAAGTTCCTAAACTATTATCAATCAAAAATATTGTGATTACACTTCACAGTTTATCTTCTGATTAAGTTTGGAAGCGCAGGAGTAAGAAATCCAAATCAGTTTATATTGTTAAGTTCTAGACATAGGATTACTAGGATTGTTGCATTAAGTGCCGTGCCTGAGGCCACACATAGCCACAGACTCTTATTTGTATTAATAAGTTAATAACTACATCAGCATCCAAACCCTTCCTCAAACAAATTTATTAGAAGCACCAAGTTCTATCCATATATGAGGAACATACAAAACATATAAAGAGCCCCTCGCAAGATCTAAAAATTACTATTCTCGATGATAGTTATTAATAAATTTTATACTACTTAATATTATATGGAGGTTACTACCATTATTGAGTTCATTTTTAGTAAAATATATGTTTTAAGTCAAAATATTCTGTAAATTGAGTTGATTTTTTCACAACTGTAATATTGCACTCATAAAACAAAAGTGACCTCACTGGAACTTCTGATTTTTCTATAACTATAGTCAAAAACCTACTTCTGAAGTGTTGTGAGACAAAAAGATTTCAAATAGGTAATCTATACATTACTTTCGTTAATCAAGCTAGTGCAAGCATCTTTTTATTTGCTCTTTTCCCACAAATTTCCATTCGATTTCGATCACTTACATTTTGACGGTACTACATATGTACTTTTAACATATTTCTATCATAACTTTTCGAATAAATTGGACAACCAATTACATCTCTGTATAACTAAAAACAAATAGCCATATTGAACAAAACAAGCCATATTTTATTAAAAACCAACGCAATGTATGGTATGTAAGCTACACAAAGAAATTCGTTATCGGTAAAAGAGATCAAGGCGTCGGTAGGACTGCTCGCCTCCCCACAGTTATATTACATATAGTTAATTTTATAAACTATTAAAACATTTATCACTAACAAAAAAACAGACGAGTTCTATGTGGTTTGGATTGATTAGTAAAAATTGAGACATTAAATACTTAGTTGGGTCACTGGGAATAACTGATATATAGACCAAATTGGTGGTAGATTTAGGCCCGTATTTCAAAAGGTGTCTCAGTCGTGAATCTAGTCTTAAAACTAATTTTAAGTAGAGATTTTATTATTGAACGTCACTTAAAACGAGATTCACCGATCCATACTCAAGTGAGTGATAGCTTATTTTAGAACGATGTTTATGTCGAAATCATTACTCAGGTATAGATTTTGACAGCTGTGATCTTTGTTTACGTGAGACAAGCTGAAACTAGTCTCAAGCGGTGATTTCTAGGGCATTTAGGGGAAATGAATGTGTTTTACGATGATTTCTTTTTGAATAATTACGAAAGATTTACTTTACTTTATTTACGAAAGAATTACCTTGCATACTATCATCAATTTCACTTTCATTTACCTTAATTGATATGAAATTCACCAAAATTCACATTTTACACACACAATACCAGTTTAAATTACCACAACCTTTTGGTTTATGTTAAAAGTATAGTAATTTAAATTTTAGAAATATCAAATAAAAACATCGTTTGACATTTCAACATGACAAGTGTTGATACTGAACTTGAACATTCCGTTATAGCCTATTCATACAGCTAGTCATTTTTTTTAAATATTTATTATACTTAATTTTGAACGAACAACAACCTTGTTAATATGTTAACATTGCTACACTAGGCAATAGTATATTATATACAAATTCACAGAAATTATTTTTGTAAAAGAAAATTATTTTTTAAATAATTAGCTGCGTAATGTGGAATAATAGTGTCAATCACGCGGAAACGTAATTGAGAACGGACTGTAAGTTCAAATCAATACCTGAAACTAGTTTCAACTGAGTAAAACTTAAAACGCGTTCAATAATAAGATCGATACTTAAGATTTGATCTGCACTTAAAACTAGTTTCAGGCAATCAGAGTTCTACCGACACTTGAGACGTCTTTTAAAATACGGGCCTTAATCTTATAGATTCTCGTGTCACAATGTTAGTTACCATACTCCTCCGAAACGGCTAGACCGATTTTAATGAAATTTTGTGTGCACATCGGGTAGGTCTGAGAATCGACCAACATCTATTTTTCACACCCCTAAATGACAGGGGTGACCCATCCCTAATTTTTTTTCTGCAATGTTTCCTAGAAATAATGTATATGGCAAAACAACGTTTGCCGGGTCAGCTAGTTATGTATAAAATATTCTGTAAAACACTGTTACAACACAGAAAAGGCAGTGTGAGATAGAGAAGTGTTGCTGTAGTAATAAATTTAAAAAAAATATGTGAACTTTATTACTTTTTCATTGTTTTCTTACAACGATAAAAAGCAAGGTTCTAGCAAATACGAAAACAATTAAACTGTGTTTATAACAGAACTGCCGTTTCTATGTTAAGATGATTTTATTTGAGATTAACATTAGCATTTATATTTAAAACATTAATAATTAAAACTGGTGTTGTAGTTGTAAGTTTCAATACGTTCTCTCAATTGTATCTAAAAATATAATATTTTCAAAGTTTTAATAAATCAATTTTTACTAAAACCAAACCAATGCATGCATGTCACTAGCGTAGTATTTAACATTGTGTGGTCTATTCACCGATCACTTCTCTAAAAGAGTCCTTTATGCTTTGCGTAGCGTTAAAATTCATACGCTACTGAGTGATTCTAATATCGGATACACGCCACAGTGAGTTAGACATATAAGTGCCTATCCTGTTTAAATATAAACATCCTCACTTTTCAATTACAATTGCACTTTTCCGACTGACCAACAAGATATACTAAAAAAAATTACGAGAGGATGTAAAACGTCAATTTAAAAGTAGACTTTAAACGAAGACGTGACTCTACGGAACGAGTGTTCACTGAGTGTCGAGCGGGAGGCGGGGGAGGCGGGCGAGGGGGGCGGCGCGGGAGGGGCGGAGCGCGCGCCAGGCGTGGCGCACGTGACGCAGAGCCTCACCCGAGTCCCAGTTGGTGTCGGGCTCGGTGTCGGGCTCGCTGCAGCACGACGACGAGGACGAGGCGGGGGGGGACGTGGCGCGGGCACCGGCGCCCACGAACGTTGACGTCACCGGCATCTTTTGCACGATCAGCTCCACCTGTAAAGTCATACACCGATTTCATATTAACGTTTAGCCTGAAAAAGTAAACTGTCCAAGAACGAATTGTAATAAGAGGATGCAGATATAAATATAATTAAATACTTAAAATCTAAACCCAAATCATTTAAATTTAATTTAAAAATTAAAATAAAATATAAATAATTAAGATCGGGTAAAAAAAAAGACCTTAAATAGAACAACCTGTCTTGTTAATAATTAAAATCTAAAATAAATAATTGAAATGATTTAGATCTAGAAAATGAAAACTTGAATAGGGAATAACTACTGCCTAATCTTGCACGATCACTATTTGTTAGATGGACTTAACCGCCATTACTAAATAAAACAGACATCTTTTTAACGTTTAAAATGTTACTATTTATTTAACTGTAGGTGATATACATATTTCAGTTCAGTAACAGCAGATGGTGTGTGGTTTCAGATATAATACCTTAAAGTCTGCGGCGTAATGTTTGTGTTGTTTGTCCTTGTGAGCCTCGTCCAGTTGCCACTTGTTCAGCGTCAGCTTAAACGCCTCCAGCGTCGGACCTGTAGTGGACTTTATTTTATTATTTATGTTTTTTTTAATATATCTTATGTATTCGTCTGATCCCAAACTAGGCATAGCCTGCACTATGGTAATCAGACTGCTGATAAATATACTTATATATTTCTAAATACATACATATTATAGATAAATTACACAGACACAGAACAAATGACCGTGCTCATCACACAATATTTGTCCTGGGTGGGAATCGAACCTACGACCTCTGGCTTAGTAGTCAGGTTCACTAACCACTGGACCAACAGGCCCGTCAAATTAGAATTACAGCTCCTAAAAAGTAACTAAAAATTACAATACAATTTTATTATTTATAGATCCGGTATAACAGGCAGACGTAGTTCGACGGTGAATGTTATTTTTTAAAAGAAAATATTTGTAATAGTTTGCTTGACTATGTACTAAAATCTGCATTTCATGAATGTAACTATGTATATATTATGTCAGTTGGGACTGGTAGATTTTTTTTGGCAGCAGAACAGATAGTTCTGGTTGCGATTCTCACCTTCTTAAATTATGTTTCCTAATTCATCTGTACAGGTAAATATTTTTTTTTTCTTTTTAAATACTTTTTTTTTCTAAATTACCTAGTTTAGGGCAATACGCTTGTTCTCTTTTACGTGAGTGGAACAAAACGGTAGTAGAGAGAAGTGAGCGTTAGATAGGATAGGAGTGCGGTACTGACTGTCGTCGAGCGGCTGCAGGCGCTGGGCGCCGAGCTCGGCGGCCACGAAGAAGGTGTTGAACCAGAAGTGGAAGAGCTTCTCCTTGCGCATCTTCATCTTGTGCTTGTTGTAGACGTCGACGCGCACGTCGCCCACGAGCGGCGTGCAGTGCGTCAGGCACACGCGCACGCGCCCGCGCGCCCCCTCGCGCACCACCTCGTACCCCGCGCCCGTCTGCGGACCGCGCACGGCTTTACTACTTACACTAGCCTCTCGCTTATACACCGCGCTGTCTACTTGCATAAAAAAATCTGACTACTATCGGAGCCTGGACACATTGGATAATGGGGCCCTAGGACCTTGACTGATTAGTATTCTGTTAGAATAGCCAAAAAAGGTATTACAATCAGCTATTTTCGCTGGATTTTTCTAAATAAATATGGTTTTCGGTCGATTGATTATCGAATTAGGTAGGTAGGAATTAGGGGGCCTCTATCTATCGAAGGCCCAGGGCACGTGCCCAGAGTGCCCAGTGGGAAAGAGGGGCCTGACTACTATCAATATCGTACTATAATGTAGACCATGCACGAAACTTCAAACACAGCGTAATACTTACGCGTGTATAAAGAGAAAGAAAATAAACACCACCATAGGGGGTTACCTATTATTAGAGATAAATAAATGAATACGTCATTAGGTACGTCACAAGTTACGTTACTCATATATTTATGTATTTAGTTTATGTATCACTGACTACTGTTTAGTAGTTTGTCACTTACTACTATTAATTTCAATATCAATAAATGATATTTTTATAGATAATAATTACCTTGAACGACGGCGCCTCCACCTGTGACACTGTGAGCTCTGGTGAACATTGTCCCCCGTTGAACATAGGCGGCGGTGACATCACCAGCTCTCGTATGTGGATCTTCGTCTTCGTATACTGCAGACCTGATCGCAACAACGCCGCGTAGTACTCCACGTACCGACGCTGTGACGGTATCGTTACACCTGTAAGAGTGGTAAAAACCCTATTTGAGACGACTTTTGAAATTTTTATCTCACGTCCGTGGCGTCGCTTGCGCATTTTTTTGTCTATTATAATAATAAATACAACAAAATATTTCGGACATCTAACACACAGCGCCATCTAGTTTCAAGCAGAGCTCGTACTGTGAAAGCTAGATTGACTGATAGAATACTTAAGTATGTAGTTTCTTTTAGCAAATACATAAATATTATACATAGAAAACACCCAAATTCCGAAAAAAGAAAATTGCCGGTCATACAAACATATGGTCCCACCCGGGAATCGAACCCGAGACCTCAGCACAGCAGTCGCATACGCTACCCACTGCACCAGCGAAGCGGTCAAAAAATACCTTAGATAAAATCCTTAGGAGTACTTTTTTTCGGAATGTTTTCCTTTTGTTTATTTCTGGTAACGTGTATGCAAAATTTCATATTAATTAATTCAATAGTTCACATTTGTGATATTGGGTAGTATTATACAAACAGGGTTGGCTTGTAGAAAAGATTCGATTAGAACAATATTTTTATTGGTCATATTGTGACAATACCTCAAGACATTAATTTTAATAATTGCAAGTACCACACATATTGATTATCAAGTGTGAATCATTGACCGATTTGAAATCGAGTTATTAGTCATACCTTCCATTATTGCTAATCCACTCAATTGCTGAACAGAGGGGGTACTTTATCTAAATCCTTTGCAATTATTGCAATTTGTGAATAAACTGATTTCACTTTTGAAATATAGATTTTTATTCCGCGTGGTAAAAAGTTTTCTGTCTATTTTAATGTTGTTCCATACACATAGTTCCTTCGCGACGAAGAATATAACAGAATGTTCTTAGTACTATTCATATTCAGTAGTATATTTAACAAGCTAATTACTGACTGCGTATAAATGTATAGGTAGGTACTTGAAATTTAAAAACTAATTTTTCTAACTATCATACCCAGTCAGAGAGGAGGTTTTGGCCTACTACACCACGCTGGCCAGACGGGTTGGTATAGGGTTTATGTCAAGTTTCCTTCTCTTTGCAGTAGTTTGCTCCCTTACGACTCTTACGACACCCAAAGGGATGAATAGGGGTGGTGACACTGTATTCTTAATCCGTCACCACACGGATAGATATACCTAGTGTCACTTGCATAATTAGCAAGGTGAATCTAAGGAAACGTCAAAATCCATAAAACCGTTTAGATAACAGAGGGCCGAGTGCAATTTTATTTTACATCTACTTGCTTTCGACAGCGAGCGCGTTCTGCTTTGCGATTGGTGGAGATTTCAATGTGGGCCAATCACAGCGCCGAAGGGCGGTCACCGTGACGATCGGGTAGGTGTGAAATAAACTCGCACTTGGGCCTCAGTGCGTGCCAAGGAATACATGTATTATAAATGCGAAAGTGTGTCTGTCTGTTACCTCTTTACGCTTAAACCGCTGAGCCGATTTGGATGAAATTTGTTATAGAGATAGTCCGAATCCCGGGAAAGGACATAGGGTAGTTTTTTTCCAATAATCATGATTTAAGAGGGTGGAAGATTGTAAAGGGAATCAATTACCGCTGTACCGATTAAGATGAAATTTGGTATGGAGATACTTTGATTCTTGAGGAAAAACTTAGACATTTTTACCACGCTAACCGACATTTAGCTAGCTAGCTAGTAATAGATATATACATACATACACTTGAAAAAAATAACCCTCGTTCTGTTGTGGTCGTGGTAACAAGTCTACATAATTTTAATTACATAATTTAAAAAATTTAAACCCGACTGCAAAAAGACAATTTGAAAATAATGAACTAATTAAAATATGGTCCTGATACAAAAAAATTAAAATCCTCATGATGAGCCCTTTGATTTGTTACCCATATTGCAGTTTCCAAAAGAAATACATTTTTTTTTACATTAAACTATGGAGACTCATAGTCGCTATGTTGTATTTTTGTTTGCGTCACCTATGTAAGGACACTTGGGTTACCAAGTCGAATCTAACGATATGTTACTATTTTTTTTTAAGACAACTCGCGCACTAGGAATATATCCTGTGTCGCGGGGGACTTTACAAACATACATTAAACGGACACAAAAATCACCCCAGACTCAGAACAACAATTTGTGGATCACACAAAGTATCGTCCCATGTGAGGATCGGACCCACAACACTCAGCGCAGTAGCAAGCGGCGTGGCGACCGCTTAAACCAATACGCCATTCGTACAGTCATATAAATAGTCAATAAATCCATGCAGCGGTGTGGAAGATATGAGGTTATAAAGAATATTACATGCATACACACATACATACAAAATACGCACGAAAAACATAACCCTTCCTTGGCAGTCGGGTAAAAAGGCTATTCAATGTCACCTTTAGTACAAATTATTGTTATGATATTATCTATTGAGTCTTGATAGCGCAACAATGGTCAACAACAAGTAAAATGCACCTGTCTTTGTCACCTATAAATAGCAACAGATAGCTACGCTCCAGACGGCAGACAATCGATAACAGACTAATCAATACAAATAATAACCTTAACAGTATCATTTGTCTAAGACATTCTGGTGACACATTACACGTAAAATGTATGCATGCAAGGTATGCAATTAGTAAATCTATACATCTGAAATTATGTACTTGCCCTGGTCCTCAATTCTGTTATTTTAATATTGTATCAATAGACTGTCGATGGAATGTCGACGGAATAGTCTTGCACTTTTCCTATTCTACTAACTATGTAAGACCAATGGCTTCCCGATGACTTGTCACCGATACAAATGTCGTCGATGTCTTTGTAACAGTTTGGTAAACGGTACATTTTAAATTTGTTAGAAAATGATACATTAAATTTTCCAGGTATGGCAATGTTGTTGATATCACCATTGATGATCTATATTACTATTTCGACACTTTATTGACCCTGTGAATTTATGTTAGTAGAATACTGATATTTTGACCGATTTCAATGGCATCTCAACAACGTGTCAATGGCACTGGCAACTGGTTGGCAATGGCAACGTGACAGTGGCTTGGCGTTAACATAAAATAGCAGAATTGAGGCCCTGAGTGATTGACTGATTTATTAACCCAGAGCCTACTGCTGGGGTTAAAACTTAACCTTTTGGCAGCTGATGCTTTCTACGTTGTAAGCACCCACTAAGAAAGGCTTTTTGGAAATTTCATCCCTAAGGAGGTAAAGTAAGTGATGAACGGTTGTATGGAAGGTCGTCATTTTTAATATTACTGTTACAATATTGTGTAAGAGTTTGAGGTTTTTAAATTAAAACACCAATATTTACAATTGGCACTTGACCATTAAAGCCAACTTTAGATTTGGTTTGTTGTTCGATGTTGTGATAAGAGTATTTAATCCATACTAATATTATCAATGCAAAAGTGTGTCTGTCTGTTATCTCTACACGCTTAAACTGCTGAATCGATTTAGATGAAATTCGGCATAGAGATAGTCCGAGTCCCGGGAAAGGACATATAGGTTTTTATACCAAAAACATCCTGTAAGGGGGTGAAAAGGAGGGGGTGGAATTTTGTTTGTGGAATCAGCAACTGCTGAACCGATTTAGATAAAATTTGGTATGGAGATTCTTTGATTCTTGAGGAAAGACAAAGCCTACTTTTCACTGCGCTAACCGACATTTACGCTGGCGGAGCCGCGGCCAAAACTAATTAGTAATATATGGCAAAAATATCTGATCAAACTAAAATAACTGTAACTAATAACAACTAATAACATTGCAAGAACAAGAATAAGTTAATATCCACCTTTGAATGGTTTGATTCCCGCACAAGAATATTTGTGTGACTCAGTGTTTTGTAACAGAGTCAAGGTCTGTTTCCGTGAATCATTACTATGAGGGTCACCCATCAACGAGAGCAAGTTATGAGTGTTCTTCCCGGTGGTCAGGTTAGTCCGACCAACAGAAATCTATCTTCTTGAGGATCAGACTAGTTTTACATACCAAGGGGCAGTCTATGTCTTCGAGGATGTAGCAATTAATGCCAAAATATTTTAATTAGGTATTACTTAAATTATCATGAAATAATAATATGTAGTAAGTTTATTAGTAACTGATTTATGATTGAAACTAGATTGAACTAGAATTCTGAACAATCGTTTTGAGATTTTTAGCAAATATACTCTGACAGAAACTAATTCATAGCCAAAGACACCTAGGTCACAGAGAATCCAATAAATAAAACCTGAAAGCGTCTAAACATTTTATAAATATCTGCATTTGCATATTTGCATTCGTGCAGTCAAGTCTTAAATCACAATCTAACAAAAAAAGTAAACTATATGGTCACACTATCCGTTTCCAGCAACCCGAAGCAAATCCAAAACCATTATTTGAATTATTTAACCGAAAGGCAGCTATTTTAAAACTAATTTTACTCCATAGATTCTTCAGCTTGACGTGCAATTGATTTTCACAAAGGACGAGGGTTTGTGATTCACACAGGTGTCAGCTATGAGGATGAGTGCAGGAGTTTTAAAGTTACTTAAAAACATTCTCTTCTGCACAAGATTTCTAACAGGGATATTAAAAAAAAAACTTTGCTTTTCTTTAAATAACGAACAAAATACCTTTCTCATCGTGGGTTCTCTTCGTGCCGTAGAACTTGAGCGCTTCATCCGCTGTCGCCTTCTGCCCGCTGTACAGTAAGTAACAACACACCATTGTGCCTGCAAACAACCAATACAAAAGAAATATTTTATATTCTTTTAGTACTGATAAAAAAACTATGGTTAAAATTCTTCATATTTCTTTAATCATGCTTACTCATTTAACGATAGTATTTGCTTTTTAACCGATTTCAAAACGAGAAGGTTCTCAATTCGTTTGTATTCTCTTAATGTTTATTACTTAGGTAAACAGTCATTTATGAATCGATATAAATAATTATTTTTTATTGGGAGAGTATACCACCCGCTTGGTCTCGTCCAAATTTGAAAAAAAAAAATACCACCTTTTAGGTGGAAAATATCCTAAACCTAATATCATGATAGAAGCCTTTAATAAGCCAAAGAAGGACACAGCCTTATGAAAAAGAGGCGGCATTTTACAATTTTCTAATTGTCATAAAATTAGGAAAAGGTTAGTAAAATTTTATGATGATTTATCTTATTATTTTTAGGTATATCGACACGATTCTACTAAATTAGGAAAAGTTTAGTAAAATTTTATGATGATTTATCTTATTATTTTTAGGTATATCGACACGATTCTACTAAATTAGGAAAAGTTTAGTAAAATTTTATGATGTTTTACCTTATTATTTTTAGGTATATCGACACGATTCTACTAAATTAGGAAAAGTTTAGTAAAATTTTATGATGATTTATCTTATTATTTTTAGGTATATCGACACGATTCTACTAAATTAGGAAAAGTTTAGTAAAATTTTATGATGATTTATCTTATTATTTTTAGGTATATCGACACGATTCTACTAAATTAGGAAAAGTTTAGTAAAATTTTATGATGTTTTACCTTATTATTTTTAGGTATATCGACACGATTCTACTAAATTAGGAAAAGTTTAGTAAAATTTTATGATGTTTTACCTTATTATTTTTAGGTATATCGACACGATTCTACTAAATTAGGAAAAGTTTAGTAAAATTTTATGATGTTTTACCTTATTATTTTTAGGTATATCGACACGATTCTACTAAATTAGGAAAAGTTTAGTAAAATTTTATGATGTTTTACCTTATTATTTTTAGGTATATCGACACGATTCTACTAAATTAGGAAAAGTTTAGTAAAATTTTATGATGATTTATCTTATTATTTTTAGGTATATCGACACGATTCTACTAAATTAGGAAAAGTTTAGTAAAATTTTATGATGTTTTACCTTATTATTTTTAGGTATATCGACACGATTCTACTAAATTAGGAAAAGTTTAGTAAAATTTTATGATGTTTTACCTTATTATTTTTAGGTATATCGACACGATTCTACTAAATTAGGAAAAGTTTAGTAAAATTTTATGATGATTTATCTTATTATTTTTAGGTATATCGACACGATTCTACTAAATTAGGAAAAGTTTAGTAAAATTTTATGATGTTTTACCTTATTATTTTTAGGTATATCGACACGATTCTACTAAATTAGGAAAAGTTTAGTAAAATTTTATGATGTTTTATCTTATTATTTTTAGGTATATCGACACGATTCTACTAAATTAGGAAAAGTTTAGTAAAATTTTATGATGTTTTACCTTATTATTTTTAGGTATATCGACACGATTCTACTAAATTAGGAAAAGTTTAGTAAAATTTTATGATGTTTTACCTTATTATTTTTAGGTATATCGACACGATTCTACTAAATTAGGAAAAGTTTAGTAAAATTTTATGATGTTTTACCTTATTATTTTTAGGTATATCGACACGATTCTACTAAATTAGGAAAAGTTTAGTAAAATTTTATGATGATTTATCTTATTATTTTTAGGTATATCGACACGATTCTACTAAATTAGGAAAAGTTTAGTAAAATTTTATGATGTTTTACCTTATTATTTTTAGGTATATCGACACGATTCTACTAAATTAGGAAAAGTTTAGTAAAATTTTATGATGTTTTACCTTATTATTTTTAGGTATATCGACACGATTCTACTAAATTAGGAAAAGTTTAGTAAAATTTTATGATGATTTATCTTATTATTTTTAGGTATATCGACACGATTCTACTAAATTAGGAAAAGTTTAGTAAAATTTTATGATGTTTTACCTTATTATTTTTAGGTATATCGACACGATTCTACTAAATTAGGAAAAGTTTAGTAAAATTTTATGATGATTTATCTTATTATTTTTAGGTATATCGACACGATTCTAATTTTAAAGAAAATAAAAAAGTTTTTACAGTTCTAAGGTCATTATTAATAACTCGCCGAAAAACAAATGACAGGCACGGACAGTAGCGGACCAATACCGGTCTAGTATATGACTTACTAGGCGCGGCTTAGAATGCAGCAGTAGTCACAATAATATAAAACTATTGCCATCTTCATATGCAAATATTATTCATTATGTCTGTGTTGAATTAGATAAGATCAGATCAGATACGTACTCTAAATACATAATCAAAAATACTACCATATTTATATTTTAGTATTTCTCTTTGCAGTGAGTTTTATAGACTAATTAAATATGCGTTTGTATTTTAATTCATCCGATGGAAAGTGGCAACGATGAAGATGATATGACGTCTGTCCAAGAAATGGAACCTTAGTCAGTTTATTTTAAAACGTTTTAACATCATTTCTTTTAAAACACAAATGCAGACTCAGGCTGTACATTTTAGATTTTGAGGACTCTAATCAAAGAGAAACTGTAAAAGCATTTAATGTGTTTCGGCAATGATACAATGGATTTTCTGTATCTATGAGGGAATGTACAAATTGCAAGACTTAGAACTGTCGCACATCCCTTAAAGTGAATCCTAGGAATTCATCGCAATTCAGACGATGCTAAAAAGAATGTTTATTACAAGCCGTTTAAAGCAAACCCTATTTTCAGGGACACTGGTTTATATAGGCATATTCATCGTAGCTTATCCAATCACTTGCCTTTTTGCTTAACTAAGTTACATGCTGGTGACCCATTTAATATTGCCTGTAAAGAATTCTTCCTTACGAGCAAAAAGTAAAGATTCCTAAATAAGATTAAAAAATAACAAATTTGAGAAACCGTGCCGAGAACCAAATGTCTGCTAGGTAACAATAGACTCCCTCAAAAAATCATCGATGGAAAATCAAATCGGCCCAGTAAAGTAGAATTTGTGGTACAAACATAGCTTGTTTCACGTCCACGCAGCAATTCCACACTTTTTATGTCCCTTCGGGGCAACCCACAAAAAAAGGAGGCGATTTGAAAGGACCTTTTTTTAATTTACGACTTCGGCGTGAAAGCCGGTACGGTGGTAATACGACCAATTATGGCGTGTAAAGAAATTTCGCAATTACGCCTTTAAGGTTTCGTCTCATTTTTGTTTGTGCAACAATAGTCGTCCATCCGTTTCTATAGGCAATAACTTGGCACGTGTAATTTGTAGCTTTAATCTTTGTTACCGAAAACGTTCTGGGACCTATTACGATACCTTTTATCTGTCTGGAATTATATTAGTACGTAATAATTTATTCTTTTCATATTGTAATGCGCGATGTGGCGATACACACGTACAAATGGGTCATGTATTCGGTAGGTATTCAATGTAGTCGTTGTCATGTTAAACTCTTTGTGTCCTTTTATGACTTTTGTTGCTATGTTTATGAGCAATTTAAGTGAAAGTGTCATGGCTCTATACTATCAGAAGGCTGCTTCGTTGTCGATATTAATAGCGGATGTCATTAAAGACGTTACAAAAGAGGAATATAATGCTGTCAATTTTACCTTTCATCTGGCCGGTTTTATGAAGGTTTTTATTTGTTTGTTCGTATCGTATACTTAGGCAGGGTTGTGCATCCATTCATATTTCCGAAACTATGAATATTAATACAGTTTTATTGTTTATCATAATATTTGTTGAAATGGGTTACCCTATTTACATGTTACAAAGAATGGTAAAGTGCGTGACGGTTTAGGATAGTACAATAACAAAACGCTCGACAGCTTTTGACAATATAACAAGTAGTATATTAATAAAACTTAAACGTCATTGGTTTTTTTTTTCATGTTATAGGGGCCAAGTTTATTAAACGAGCAAACGGATCACCTAATAGTAAGTGATTAGCGCTACCCATTGACATCTGCAACTCAAGGCGAGCACCTCCTCCCCCCTCCCTCAATGAGGAGAAAAAGGTTTTGGGGCTGCGTTATTCTCACTCACTCGGTGAAAAGTGACGAAATAATGGCCCCGGGACAACCCATCACGCTAAGTACCGTCGAGTAGAACAAGCCACTAACCTGTGCGTCCCTTTCCCGCTTTACAATGTACCGCTGCGACATTCCTTGTATCTTCCGACAGCCACTTGTGCACGTCCTCGCAGAACGGCTGGATCAGTTCCATGTTTGGTGGCGTGTGATCTTCTAACGCGTACTTCGCCACCTGTAAAACATCAGAATGAAATCATTTATATTGTGTTAAGGTCGTTCTGGTACATACACATTCCATTTTAAATTTAGAAAACCCAATTCATTATCACGTGAAATCAGTTGACAAATTTACTTGTGGCCAGTCTTTGATAGTCTTTTAATATCGAGACTTTTTCTTTGTTCTTTCTGAAAAGCTAGTGATACCACAGACTTTGAAATTTAAACTAACACTTAGTCGAAGCATCCATTCTTTTATTATAAATCAATACAACCTTACAGGTTTATATATTATTAATATGTAGGTTTATGTATGTATGTAACGTGGTAAGTGTGTATGTATGTGTATGTATTTGGTACGTTAGTATGTAGGTATGTACATTTATGGCATTGTTTGTGTCTAACTTATCAATAATTTTCTTTTACTTTACATATCAATGTCTAGTGCACATTCACACATTTCAGCACCACCCTAAGGTATTACTTGTGCATAAAGAATAAAAAAATATATGTGAAAGTGAGTTCGTTTGTTTATTTGTTTGTTACGCTTTCAATCCTTAACCACTAAACCGATTTTAATAATTCTTTCACCAATGGAAAGCTACATTATCAGCGAGTTACATAGGCTAAGTTTTTGCCTACCATACGAGTGTATATACCATACATAACCGACATACGGGCAAAGGCTAGCTTTATAAACACCATCGTTATTTACTACGCTTATTGCATTAAAGCGGTTTCTACAAATGTATCGCTAAACCGGTCGAGTAATATGTGGTACTTTTAAGTTAATAAAAATTAATTACATTTTTCTTCAAAATTTATTTTTTAAAAGCTTTTCTACTGTTAAGTTGTTGTCCAATTATAAGTTTCTGATATTACCTGTATTTTTTTTCTTTTTTAAAAAGACAACTCCCGCATTAGGAATATATCCTGTGTCGCGGGGGACTTTACAAACATACATACATACATACAAACATACAATTTGTGGATTACACACAAAGCGTCGTCCCATGTGGGATCGGACCCACAACACTCAGCGTAGTAGTAAGCGGTGTGGCGACCGCTTAAACCGTGCAGTCGATTACCGAGAGCCATGGACCCGAGCAACTCGTGAGTTACGAGTCGGAGTTAGACATCCGGCAACCTCACTCACCTCGTCAAAATACAACGAAACAAATGCTTAACACTTGGTTTTCCGTGCGTCCGTGTGGTGACGGATTAAGAATACAGAGTGTCACCATCCCTATTCATCCCGTGGGTGGTAAAAGCCGACTAAGGGAAAAAACTAAGCAGGACAACAGCACTGCAGAGAGAAGGAAAACTTGACACAAACCCTTTACCAACCCGTCTGGCCAGCGTGGTATAGTAGGCCAAAACCTCCTTTCTCAGGAGAGGCTTATGTCCAGCAGTGGACTATTAAAGGCTGTTGATGATGATGATGATGATGGTTTTCTGTGAGGCCACGATATCACTCCGAAAGAGTCGACCAAAAGGTAGTAGAAAGAGATGTAGAAAGAGAGTAGAAAGATAAAATAGAAAAATATACGAGATCACAAAGCTAATTTTCTTAAATATCCTTAAACCATTTTTTCCATAGCCCAACACGCACAATGAATGCATACGATCAAATTATTCGAGTACTTCATTACTTAACAGGTAAAGCATATATAAACCCGAAGTTCACAGGCAGCTGGATAATGCTACGGGATTTTGATAAAGTGGTTGTGCTGTCATGAAAATATGCTTGGAACAGCTCCAAACCTTGAAATAATACGTATACAATGAACGTAGATATCTCTGTAATATCTATTAACATTATTATCCTAAGGAGTACAAAAATGACAGCGCATAATGTTTCGTTACATTCCAAGTGACGTCACAATGTTCTTTTATTAAATATAATTGAGCTATTAACTTTTCTTTAGTTAATTTTCTAAAACTATTCTTTTTTTAAATACAAAACAAGTTTTAATTGGGTAATAATATTCTAAAAAAAAAGATATAAATTTGAACCTGAACCTTAAAATGATAATGGAGCAAAAAATATCACATTTACGAAACCATTATCCTCAACTTAAAAAAAAAAAGATTCTAAACATCACTTACGGTCCTAAAATGGCATCTTTGATGTCCTCTAAATATTAGCAACTGGAGTAATATTTAGTTTAAACCAGATAAAAGAAATTACCATACAGCCAAATACGTTACGTCAAATAGTGATTTTATGCCGGCCCATTACTAATAATGCGAATATCAATTATTCCAATTGAGTGGGTATGGCTTCCCTGACGTACGTTCGCGTTTCTATGGGGATGATAGACGCACAACCTTGGTTATAACCAATATATGTAATCGTTTTTCAATATATTTAATCATGATTTACTTTTACACCCACACAGGATGATTTCTGGGATAAAAACTACCCTATATCCTTTCCCAAGAATCGGACTACCTCTATACCAAATTTCATCTAAATGGGTTTAGCGGTATAAGCATGAAAAGGTTACAGACAGACAGACATACTTTTGCATTTATAATATTAGTATGGATATGGACTGTATAAAAAGTAAAAAAGTTTGGTTTTCAAGTTAATTGAGTTGAGATTATAGAATGTAAGTATTGGTTAGAAGTGGTTTTAATTATCTAGACTACGTCAAATGTTGTAGGAAAGATATGTATTTAGATGCAATTATAGTCATAACGAAGATAAGAACGAAGAACGTTCTAGACCGTATTCAAAACTTGTTTATAATATAATAATTATATCTCACACATCTCACACACGGCAGTCTGATCCCAAACTATGGTAACCAGACTGCTAATGAACATACTTATACATTTTTTAAATACATACATATTATAGATAAATTTCACCCAGACACAGAACAAATGCTGATCACACAGTAATTGATGTTATAAAAAGATTGATATATTCAAATCACCAAAAGTCTGTAATCAACTTTTTGTAATTGACTTTTTATTTCCACTAAGGTGGCATACAATCACATGACGGTTTGATGGTAAAGCAAAAAATATTATTATTATTTATTGATAATAAAGGGATTATTGATACGTAAAGCACCACTTACATACTTCGAACCGAATTCTATCCATAACATAACAATAATGTACGGTTTAATGAGGTCCCATTAACGCAAAAGAATCTTGTTAAAAATTAATTTATTTATAACATAAACACATCTTCAAGAGTACGAGACTACGTATTGATTTCTTCTCGATGTGCGGCCTTGCCATTTTGACCAGGTCAACTCAACACAACGGCCGACTATCTATTAGCCGACTTCAAAAAAAGAGGAGGTTGACATTTTTATTTTCCACTAGCTGAGACTCGCGGTGTTACCCGCGTTTGTTTTTATAACCGCGGGCAACGCCGCGGGGCGAAGCTAGTCTAAAAAAAGTAGCCCAAGTTACTCCCTATGTCATCAGCTATCTGCCAGTGAAAGTCCCGTCGAAATCGGTCCAGCCGTTCCAGAGATTACCCGGAACAAACAGACAGACAGACACACAGACAAAAATTGTAAAAAAATGTTATTTTGGCATATGCACCGTGTAAACATACATATGCATTTAGTAAAAAGCGGTTATTTAAATATTACAAACGGACACTCCAATTTTATTTATTTGTATAGATATCAATTGTAGACTGATCTGAGACTGAAGTTAGTTAAACATTAGATGTAGCGTTCCCCCATGGCTTGGATGACCACCAGACCAGTCCATATTAGTGATCCTAACATAAAAGGATAAATTGTTTTTAAAATGAGATATTGAAAATATATCGCATTGCGCATTTGTAAGGACGTAGAAATATTCACGTGACGTCACCGACAGTGACCCATTTTCCTCATAACATTTATCAATTGTCAGTATTTAAATAATAGGTTAGGTGTGGAAGGAAAATGTAAAACAGGCATAATCGTGGCGTTTGTACGTAAACTAATATTATTATCATTTGTATAAGCAACATTCTCTTTTCTTCTATATGAAGGGAACAGTAGAACTGACTGACAGATAGTGGGAGAGCTTAAAGTACGGATTTAATGAGTTTAAATATAATACAATGATATATATTCGATTACAGAGTCTATACGGTAGATATGCAATCTACCGTGTAGACTCTGTAATCGAAATGTTTTCATGAGGGATGGGTTCCCACAAGTTATAATCATAAACCACATCGCCGTCAATGTCGTCACACTGTTTATGATTCATTTTGTGACACATAACAAAAGGTTAAGTAACAATTCATTAGCACAATTAAAGTGTATTAGATAAACACGATTATCAGTTTTATTCATCAGGAAGGTAATTTTTTGTTGAGTCTAAACCCCCTCAAGTCGTCACCTCACCGCGCAGCCAAACGGTAAGGTGGGATGTCGGGCTAGAACAGACTAGACCTACACAGTGTTCTGTCATCAGCTCTTTGGCCGAGGCCTCGGCTGTATAAATTTTACGTGTGGAAATCCCCTCGCACCGTCACCCCACCGGGGTTTGCGGCGGGGTGGTGTGTCGGACTCGGACCGACTAAAACCACACGGTGTGCCACTCTGCGCCTGTAATAGGAGGGTAATCTGTAATGGTAATAAACAGACAACCCTAAGTCAACCCCGAAAGACTAGGCCGCCTGTAAACAAATTGACCCCACAGTCACCGTCTCGGGCCCGCTTCTCCGCGCGCTGACTCCGTCTGGTGAAACTTAAGGTACTTAATTACCTGTAAGAAAAGTCAGTCTAATAGGAATATGTAACTAGTTAGCTTACAGACAATTATGTGTGAATTGTCTCTATGTCAGAGATTCATTCATTCAGCAATATATGAATGGACTAACCATCGGCACCGAATCCAGGGATAAACACCGAACCAACCAGAGATAAAAACTGAAGACATTAAAAGTATATGGATTTTTTTTACCATTTTTTTACAAACACATGTCACAATCAAATTATTACATAATTAAACTAATACCGTTATCAAACTAGTTTCTTTTTTCGT